AGCACCCCCTGTATCCCTTCCTGGGGTCTTCCCCTGAACTCCCCTAGAGCGTCCCCCGCCCACCCGAGATCCCCCCTCCTAGGGACCCCCCTAAAGCATCCCCTGCATCCATTCCTGGGGTCCTCACCTAGCTCTCCCTAGAGTCCCCCCTCCCTTGGACCCCACAGGGCGCCCTCTCTCGAGGTCCCCCCCTCCTGGGAACCCCCCCCCCTTAAGCATCCTTTGCTCCCCTCCCAGGGACCCTCCTAGAGTGGCCCCCCGCATTTCCTCCTAGGGTCCTCCCCCAGGAGTCCCCAGAGCACCCCTGGGGACCCCAGAGCACCCCTCCTCTGGGGACCTCCTAGAGCATCCCTGCTCCCTCCTGGGGTCCTTCCCTGGGTCCCCCTAGAGTGACCCCTCCCTGGGATCCCCCAGAGCACCCCTGAGGTCCTCCCCATGGGGGTCCCCCCAGAGCATCCTCTGCTCCCCTCCCAGAGACCTCCCCCTAGAGTGCCCCTTGGGATCCTCCCTTCTGGGGCCCCTCAATCCATTCTAGAGTGCCTCCCATGGACCCTCCTGAGCACTCATTCCTCCCTGGGATCTGCCCCAGTACTCCCTGTATTGCCTCTTAGGGCCCTTCTCCCAAGATCCCCCCTGTTCTCCTAGAACACCTCTTGGGGATCCTCTTGAGCACCCCCTGCCCCACCAGGGCCTCCCTAGAATGATGCCTGTTCCCCAGAGTCTGGACCCCCATGCACCTCAGCCCCCCTGAGTCCAGGCACCCACTGCCCCCTGAGGACCCTCCCCCAAAGACCACCCCATGGAGACCTCTTTCCCTAATCCCCCTATTTCACAGAGATGAGGATCCAATACGTGCAATATCTGCTCTTAAAATATCTCCCTCTCTTAGATTGGGACCCCCGCTCCCTGAGTTCTCCACATGGGCCCCCTTCCCTCGCATACCTTCTCTAGCAGAGACTGGGATCTACATTGTCCCCAAAACACACACATGCACCCCACCCTCCCCCCAGGGCACCCCTTCCCTCAGATCAGGACTTGCTGCCTCCTGAGACCTCTGCATGGGGGTCCCCTGCCTAGGCTGTAGAACACTTCATTCTCAGAGATCAGTGCCTGTGAGGTGGACGTCCAGGGGAGGTTAGAGACCCTTCCCATCCTGGGAAGGCCTTCATGGCTCTAAATGTACCTTGGGCCAGCAGCACCTGCGAGGTGGCGGTGATGCAGGTGGATCCCCCAATCCAGGCCTGCAACACAAGGGCAGCTGTAATACTGACAAGAACAGCCTCTGAGCTGGGCGAGGCAGGGGAGACCTCTCTAGGGACCCACCAGGCCCCCACCCCAGATTGCCCCTGCATGAGCTAGAGCAAATCTCCTCAGCAAATGATGTCTCCCCCTCATCCTTCATGGAGAACATAGTAAATGAACAAAACCCTTTGCTAGTCTGGGGGCTTGTCCCTCAGCTTCAGTTGAGGAAGAAAAAGCAAGCAGCTGGGATTGGCTGAGTGGGTGAGTAATAGGCTGAGTGGGTAGTTGCAATCCAGGCCAGCCTGCATCAGGAGGGCTGGGGAGGAAACTACTTGATACTAGTCATCTGGGTGTAAGATGCCCCAGACATCAGGTTTTCCAGCCACCACAGGTGGTTTGGCCCTCAGGGGCTCACCCTGGGACTTCAGCTCTCCAGCCCTGAGATTCACCATCCCTGCATGTCTAGTTCCTGGCTCTGAAGCCTTTGGATCTCACGCCGACAAGGGAACGACGGTCACATCTGCTCCAGTGCTGCAGCTATGCCGTTGTGCCATAGTGTGGGCCTTCCTACTGTGACGCTCGGGCGTTTTCTGTGCGGTAGTTCATCCACCTCTGCGGGCAGGAGTAGCTGAGGCCAAGTCTACAGTAAAAGTTAGGTCGACCCAGCTGTGTTGCTTAGGGGTGTGAAAAATCCACACCCCTGAGCGATGTAGTTAAGCTGACCAAACCCCCAGTGCTCGGTCAATGGACACTCAGGGAAGGGGATTGAACCCTCCCATCGCTGTAGTGAGGGTCTACACTGAAGCAGTGCAGCATGCCACTGTAGTGGTTTAAGTGTAGACACAGCCTAAGTCAACAGAAGAATTCTTCTGTCAGCCTAGCTGCTTCTACACTGGGAACTAGGTTAGCTTAACTGCGGTGCTCAGGTGTGATTCTTTCACAGCCCTCAGTGAGGTTGATAAATTGTAAGTGTAGACCGGGGGTCAGAGCAAACCGAAGCAATCAGTCCTGGAAGAGAGTGTAGCAAGAGCAGCTGTTGGGCCCAGCTGTGCTCCAGGGATCTCTTTAAATGAGCACTTGTCTCTGCAACCCTCCCATTCCTGTTTAGAGTGATTGTTTCTCCGTGCTTTATTTTTAGTTGTAGGCACTGGCATGATCACTTTGGGCAGGGCTGGCGAGATGTAGGGTCGTGGATAAGTGGCAAGCCAGATACCGGATACGCTCTTGCTATAAAACATGCTGCCTGTTACAGCTCTGTTTCCAGCTGGATTGCAAAAGATCTGGTGGTTTATATCATGAGAGCTATGATGAAGCCTGACGCATTGGTCAGTGTTGTGGAACGATGTCAAAGTCCTAAGGTCAGCAGACACGAGTAGCATTTAAACCACACTGTCAACCTTCCCATACAGTGCTACGGTTGTCAACAGCACAAGAGTACCTGGAACGGAGTCCTCCTATGGCAGATCAGCTTCATTACGGCTCTTCTTCCGCCCAAAGAATACCCAGCCTTTTAGCTTCAACTCTGATGTTTTGCATGTCATCTGAGGGGCGGAGTTCACTACAATTATTCTGCATAAGCACAGTGAACTATTGGCACTTAATTAGCTACAGATGGGAAAGCTGCATTTTTGCCTTTGATGTCAGGGTTTTTCAAACTCTTCGTTTGGCTTTGAGAGCTGATCTGGGGATTTGTGGGTTTCTGAGCAGAAGTTTCTAGAAATGGAAGTATCCCAGTAATTAGACACTGCATGGCAAGTAAATGGAGCATTCAGTCAGAAGCGGGGGAGAAACGAAGGCATTGGGAATGGGAGACAGGTATGTGTTAAGGTACAGTTTGAAGAGAGGTACATGCAGACTTTTCCGGATGGCAGACATTCCAGAGAAGGCTCTTGTGTGCAGCAGTGATGGGATTGTTTAGAAGGGACCAGGCCTTAGTGCCAGATAAGTAGAGAGAACTCATTGGGGTGGGTCACGTTATGGAAGTGACGAGAGATAGATTTACTAACAGTCACCATCAAAGCCAAGGATGAAACCAGAATTTCTGGTGGCGAGGGAGAAAGATCTGATTGTTTGAGAATGTTCCCTCCCTTCTTGTCACTTGCAGATGTCTAGATTGCTGGTAGCATGTGGTTAGAGCAGGTGACAGACAAATCAGGAGATCTGGCTCTGTTGATGTGCTGTGACATTGGGCAAATCACTTCACTTCCAACTCAACTTCCCCTTCTGTAAAACGGGGATGCTTACCCATCTTTGTAAAACATTTTGAGATCCTTGGGTAAAAAGGTGCTATACAAGTAGAACGTATTATTAATTAGTTGAAAGCACATGAGACATTCCCCAGCCCGCTTGCAAAAAAGGTAAAGTGGATACCTCTAAAGGATTCTCTCCTGAGTCCAGATACCACTGTGTGATCAACGTGAATGACCTATGAACAAAGCTGGGCAATGCAGTTCTGTACCATCCTTAACAGAGCTGAGACCAAAGTCCATTGGGCCAACTTGGGTATCTTGTCCCTGGATACACACACTTACAGATTTTGTGCTCTCTGTCCTAGCATGTGGATATGGAAAACTCCTATCTTTGTGGATACTTGAAGATTAAAGGCCTTACAGAGGTGAGCACGTGTTACTAAACTCCTTTTCTATACTGCATGGGAGTGAAGGGCAGCCTCTGCTCCAATTTCTGGCTAAAGGTATGAAGGTCTGTGAGGTTGAGCCCATAATTAAGAAGACTGTTGGGTACCTTAATCCCTTTCCTTTGTTTTTTTTACACAGTGTAAACCAAATATAAATGGTTTTGTAGCAACTTAATTAAAAATTGTTTTAACTTGATAGCAGCACTGTAAGGGCTGAGCTGAAGCGGACCTGACTTTGCCATCACCAGTTAATTGGTTGTGCGTGTATCTTTGTTGCCCCAAACCTCCAGACAAGCCAGATCTTCCTG